TCGTGGGAGGGTGGGTGGTGGGGTAAGCCAGGGGTTACTGTAAGAGCCGAGTGCCGGACTGAATCTTTGTTTCCGCAACATGAATAGAAGAAAAAAGATCAAGTGCCGTATCCGGTCAGTGTGAGAAGATATGCCTACAAACTTTTCAGACGGGAGCGACACGGCCAGTCGAGACGGAAACCACGAAAGTGGAAGAGCGAAAGGAGGAAGTAGACGAGTCACGTTATCGGGATAGCTTTATCGCGGTTGGTTTCCTGAGAATACTTAATTTCCTCGTGCAAACGTTCTATGAATCGTGGATGTTCTGGGGGAAGCTCCATAACTCGCTAGCGGTAAGCTCTTTCAGGCATCTGAAGGTGAAGGGTTCTGGACCGATGGCGCCTACACCACTTCGCCCAGCCCTCCACCGGTGCCGAGACATCGATTCCTTGAGGAGCACGTTACAAGAGAGGAATTAGACATCGGTATCAGAACTACCCACTTCGCAGTGAGTATTTGGGCAATCTATTCCTTTTCAGGGAAAGCGGCTACTGCCCCAGAATTCATACGGCCACTGCATAAGGAGTATACAGTGGATGAAGGTGGCACAATAGTTCTCGAGACGGTGCTGGTGGGAAGTCCTCGGCCGAAGGTCAAATTCCTTTTCAATGAGAAAGAAGTCAGAAAGGAATCGACGTTCTGTGAAGTGAGCCTAGTCTTGTTCTGGAGATAGTGGTTCTCTCACGTGAACTACGCGATTTTAGATTTTGAGCATAAACGATACCTACTCTTTCGTCATCGACAAGGCACGGCTCGAGCATGCTGGTTTCTACAAAATCACTGCTGAGGTGAGTCTCGGGGCACTCTTACCCTTGTGGTCTATAGATCGAATCCTGAGAAGGATTGTGAAGTGGTTTACCCTTTCCATTGAATGATCAGGGAACGGACCGTTTCCATAGTACTAATACGTAGATGTCTCCATAGAGATCTCACCGAATTCACATTCTCCGCAGTTTCTAAGGAGAATCGCTTTCATGAATTGGCTACCTTATGTCTTGTACATTTCCTCGTATCATTGGTTATTACCATTTTTAGGCAGTTACGCTAGTAGAAAGTAGTTTTTGGAGATAAAAAGCGATACAGTTACAGCTTAAATTCCAGAACAGTAAAGGCTCCACGGAGACATTGACCATGTTGCACGTTCGTCCCAAGGCCTTGATCAAACACCCACAGAAGAACGGCTACTTGGCTTCAACGGCGCAAAAGATCACTGAATACAAGCCGCCTTCGGAGCACACGACGGTCTTGATTACTCGATATTTCATATGAAAATATTGCCAAACTATTTAGTCAACCTTTTGTTAAATCCTTGCTTTTAAGGTGACGGAAGAATTCGCCATGTTCGAGTATGAACAACGGCGGCCACAAAAGCATGAGACAACACGGCTAGTCACTCCTCCACCAGCGAAACGTTTCCAACAAGCACATCGGCAAGAGGAGGTACGCTTTTCTGAAATCCATTGGAATTAGCTCAGGTTGTAAATTTTCAGGAAATGCTACAACGATACGACATTGAGCAGCAGCAGAAAACGGCCGGCCATCCTCCTCACTTCACTCAAACGCTTGTTTCTGCTGTCGCAGCTGATGGGGATACAGCTAGGTTTGAGGGTATCGTTACAGGTGAGTCATCGTTGGGTGTGTTTGGATACAGGTGCAGGTGCGTTCTGGCAGAAGACCCGATGCTGAACTGCATTACCCAGCGCTATGGGTAACGCAGTTGCATTCCAGTCAGACTTATCCTGAGTGCGTCAGTTGAACCTGGAAGATGGCTATTTTTTTGTGGAACGATTTTTTTCAAAACTTTAGTTAAGATAGATGTCTTGATCAAATATTCAGGTTGGCCCGCTCCTACCGTGGAATGGACCAAAGATGGTATTCCGATCACGAGATCATCGCTTCCAGATCTCGATATCAGTAACATTGGAGGCCGGGTCTCGTTGCTTTTCAAGGTTAGCTATTCAAGAAGAGTTGTCATCCTGGAATGTTCCTAGTTAGCTTATGAAACTAATCTCTGGTGTAGTACAAACCGATTCAACATAGTATTCGAGAATGTTATATCCAAGCGTTGGGACCGCTTTCTACAGTGCCTTTGGACCAAAAGAATGAATTTTTGAAAGTATCAGCTTGAGAGTTGAAAACTATGTAGCCTTGAGGAAGGAAAATTTGAATTGTTCGAGTTTTTATCAAGGCTCATTCCGATCCAGGGAGCCTCATATACTCGAATTTTTTAGGATTCTGTTTGAAAATAGTGGGTTTTACACCTTCGAATCTTCAAACAGGGACTTTAAGGATAGTCAATATCCCCAGAATATCCAGAACGGTCGTGGGCAAGATTCCGGCTGACGGGGTTCTCGTGTTTCGAGTGGAACGAATAATCAAGGTCTACGATGGTAGCTGAAGTAGGTTCCTATCAGAATGTTCTGTTCCATGGAGGCTTTCCCTCCTGGTAGGAATCTACTTCAGTCACCATTGTGGACCTTGAGTATTCGTTCTACTCGAAACTCAAGAACCCTGCCAGTCAAAATTTGTGCAAACTGTAAAAGTTCGTTGAATAAGTCCCTACTCTGCTTTCCTGAAAGGTCTGAGATTGCTGCCAGGGAAGCTCTACGTAAATTCAGACGCGTAGTTTGCACACTGGGCAGATGGAAATAAATTACCTTGAAAACCCAGGAAGATGGAAGATTTAATGCAAAATTGATTATACGCCCCAGCCTTTTTACGTTTAGGAACTTTCAGTATTTCAGAAGTGTACCACTTTGCATAGTGGAAAGTACATGTGTACAGCAAGGAATACGAGTGGCGTAGCGACGAGTAGCGCTCAACTAGTAATTAGACGTGAGTACTCTTCTGAATCGCAACTAGATCCAATAGTGATTCTAAGCGGTCAAGGATCCATACCGAAGCCCACTTTGATACTTGCTGTTCTGTGAATTCTCGTGGAATACGTGTCTGTTCAGCAAGGACTATTGCACCCGACTTTATTCAACGGCTGATTAGTGAAGAAGTCGTTGAAGGAGAGCGACTGAAGTGGACCGTTAGAGTCACAGGCGATCCCCAACCAAAGGTAAGGTCCTTTCTTTTTTGAAGCTTCCAAAGTAATTAAGCGTTTCTCACGACGTGTATAATAAACGACAATAATACATAAATCGGCAAGCTGATATACATATGAGTTGGGCGGTGTCCAGATACCGAGCAACGGGAAAAATGAAAAAAGAGAGTTCTGTGCCAACGGCGATGCTAAGGTTATTTACTTGATTGCACCCTGAGATACCGATAGATCATCCCTTTCGTGTCGTCTCAAGAGGTACCTACTAGGCACCTTGGTCGTTAGTAAGCCTAGTTATGAACCCACAACAGTGGACCTACTCACTACCTTTAACTTAGTTTCTGGCACCCTGGTCCCCAAAACTCTGCCCCGCTTTTTGCCAGCCCCGTTTCCGACTTCCGTTGCTTATCTAGGTGGCTAAGGATGTTGATCAACTTCTCCCTTCTTCCTAGTTGCTCCCTTTACTGAATTTCCATCGTAGGATTACGTCAATTTGAGCACATTCTGCTCTGAGAGACTTTTCTCTACTCAGTGCTCCTCTCCTAATTCTTAAACAATAAATTCGTGTTATCCACGTTCAAAAACAAACAGGCTCCTCTTCTGTAGAAGGTTCTGGAAGGCTGAACGTGAGGTACGCACGCTCAACAGGGCGAAACAATAGACAATGCCAAATTTGTTCACGTAACTGAGCGTAGTGAGCCATGAGGAGCCCCGTCAAGAAGGACCTTGCTCGAACCAAAGAGATGGCAAAAGATATCGTAGATAGAAGGATATGGAGAGGGCTGACAAGAATAGCGGGCCCTGCGACGACGTGCGGTCAACGTTGAGGAGAAGAAGAAAAGGAAGAGTCGAGTATGCGGACGAAGCGGTGACAGGTCGCTAACGCTTGACGATGTTGACCAAACCTCAGATTGAATTTTGCGCAAAGCAACTAGGCCTTCTCTTCTTCCGTAGTCGGTTATCAAGTATCGAATTACGTCATAAAATCATGTAAAATGAACACCTATTCGGCCGCTTGATACTAATTTGTACCTTTACCCTTCATAAATTTTGAAACTGAACTAAATCATCGTTCTGTGTAAGTCGAACAATTATTCAAGAGTTCGTGAGTGAGTTGTTCCCGTAAATCAGTGACTTCCCATCGAAATGTGACCAGTGTGGCATGCAGCACGGGGTTATTTCGTGGGGGTTTGGCCTACCACAAGCTTCAATGGGGGGAGATCTCCTAGTAATAATTCGTGATAGCAACGTTGCAATGTGTTGTGTTGCAATTTTAGTTGATATACTCTTGGAACGAGAGGCTGAAGACTATTACTCGAGCAGGAGTATGAGCATTATCTCGCTGAAGTATTCGTCGGTTCATGAGCTTGTTTTGTTTGTAGATAGCTACCGAGCCTCAGGCAGGCCTAAGGACCGATACCACAAATCATAAGTTCTGAGGTTTTCTTCTTGAGCTGTTAAACCGAGATTGCAACAATATTTATTAGGCTGACGTTTCGGTGCCCTCACCTTCTTCGGAGCCTGGAAAGACAAAAGGCACTTGAAAAAGCATCCGATCAAGAACTATTTCAACCTATTGAGAAAGTTCAGTGGGCGTGGACCAGTAGGGAGCCGGAAGTTGTTAACCAACCTGTAGGATAGCCGACCTTTGTGGTCCACCGATTACCCCAAGCTGGTAGGGCTAACAGAACTGTAAAGAAGCATGCCGAGATTTATAGAGAGTCGTACATGGACAAATTACAAGCTTTATGCAACTGAGTAATTAGTGCCTTACAACCGTTTTCATTTGTTCCCAGGTCTCCTGTATATCTGATGGGATTAGAGCAACGTACTTGAGTCGGTTTGCTCGTTTTCCGTTTTTCTTTGCACTTTCTTTAGCAAGATATCCTCTGCATGAATGGATGGTATGATCAATATCTGAAGTTCGTCTTTACTAGTTCAGTATACTCAAAGAAAGCACGTGTTTGCTCGAATTTCACTCCTCTTCAATAGACACTGTCACCTTTAGAAATTGTGTCGATCATTCGTTCCAGTTTATTTTGTGCTTTGGAGTATTGATCACCCCATTACACCTATAAGCTAAGAGGTCAGCTTGTTAGAAGACAACCAACGGACCCCCTGCAAATTGTGCACAAACCATGATCCAACCGGTAGCTCAGCTAGTTTTCTCACAATTCCATTGCTTTCATGTCGTCCACCTTAACTGATATGGGTGTAAACTCACATAGGCAGCGACTTCCCATTCTCAGAAATAGAAATATGTACGTTGCTATTATAGACACTCAAATAAACCTACATATGTTATGTTTGTACACTAGGAATGGGCGTGATGAAGGAATTCAAAGGTTTTCAAAATACTTCCGGGATGACTCAACAACAGGAAACAAGCGTTTCAGTGAGTCATGGCAACAAAGCCGAAAAATCCCGTTTGCCTTGAAATTTTTTTTCGATTGCGACGAATTGGGTTAATAAGCGCCAAGGGTGTTCCCATACTCCGAATTCAAGAAAATGCCAATTACAAGATTATATAAACGTATTTTTGAATAAACGTATATTGAAGGCGCAACTGAAGAAACTCGTTGAGACTCGGCTAAGACTTTTATTTCTTATAAGCTTTCTTACCAGATGTCCTTCAATTGATAAAGTGCATGATTGGACCGATAGAATGGAAAAAGGACCACTATTCGTCGTGTAGACTAGAGCTGTTGACAGCTGTAGTCTAGTGGTACAAACCTTCTCATTCATTGACAGACTGGATGGCTGTACTTCAGTCTTACTTCTTTGAACCGGCAGAGAAGACATCGAATTGAATAGCTTTTATCGGTAGCGACCTTTCGCACATCAAGATACCCAAAGTCAACAAAGGTTTTGGTTCTTCTAGATTATCACCTCGAAGGCGGAGGTGGTGTAGTGGCAAGTGGCGCACTATGTCCCAGGCGTTCGAATATCGGATCGATTTCCGCCTAGACCAACCGTGCCGTCATCCCTCGGCGGTCGGTTAATTGGTACCAGATTCGTCTGGGAGGGTGAAAGCATTGGCTGGTACATCGGCTAACCACCGCATGCCATTGTATAGGCCACATACGCATCCAGTACGACACTACGATTCTTAATGGAAGTCGAATGGCGCATTTCTTCGACGGGATTAATTGACGCACCAAGACTTTAATCTTTATCCTTTGACCTTTCTGAAACTTGTTCAGAATGGTTCTTCACGCCATGGATTTTAGGTAGACGAAGCAAGCGTTTCTCACACTCATTTGCTTTTGGCTGAATTTAATTGGCAGTGCACAATGCCCACCCTGATTAATCGAAAAACGGAAACAATGCCTGTCCGCGTTTTGCTTTTTTTAGCTACGTTAGTTCTCAATCGGGCTGTGTAACGCCTTTCTAGGTACGGTAACATCATTTGGAAGTACGAGAAAATGTACGCTCTCCAAAAAAAGACGTGTCGAATGCCGGTTTTTGAAAAATGAATTACAGCTTCCTCCTCACCACCTGCATCCATAGGAAAAGCTTATTTTGTAGAATAATTTCGTAGAATCCACATATAGCGCACTGGGACAAGGAGCAATTCATATTTACTATGTGATATTCACTTTGAAGAGGCACTATCGTCTAAAATCCCATAAAGGAAAATCTGTCTTTTTTTAAAAATGGTATTAAATTGACCCACACGACCTGAGAAGCGCAACGAACTACTTCTACGTTCAGCTTTAAATGAATCTTGGCATTTCTGCTGTTTTCTGTCCGTTGCTGCTGTTTTTACTAGTTGTTTTTTAAAGCTCATTACGAAGTTTGTATAACAGCTTCATTAAACGGAGTTTTAGCATAATCGCCTTTTCAGAAAATATAACAATGTCAACAATTTGTAAGTACAGTAAGTGGCAATGTGAATACGGCGAGGGGATCTGACCAAGCAACTACACCTCCCCTGAAGTTAGGCACCCCCAGAGTACGAATATTATTCAAACATGGGCCACTCATCGAGCGGTGTGGCGGACCTCATGGCTACGGATGTACCGCTTTTCCAGATATGCTGCGCGTCATTTTGAAAGGCTTGGCTGGCTTGAACTTTATAACATCCTATGTAAAAAAGGAAAAGCACAAGCAGAGAAGTGGGAAAGATGAAGTTAGACATGAATATGAAACAAGAAAAGCGAGTCAGCGTTTTATTGTTCTTTTCGAACAATCAGAGTGAGTATTGTGTCTCAGAAAGGGAGATCAATCGAATACCTTTTATTATTGTATTAGTTCTGAATAGCAGTCGAGTGCATGGGTGAATCGCTGAGACGGGATTGATTAACGATCCAAGACTTTATCCTTAAGACTTTACTGTATTAGTTCTAATATTTCCTCAAGTTTTTTGTCCCGAATCTCCTTTTCTAACCTTACCTTCTTCAATGTGTCTTGCACAACTGCTCTACACAGATCGAAAGGGAGTTTATTCGAGCGGTGATTCTTACTTTTCAACGATAAGTTGCGATTTCCAGGTCACTTGGATGCGAGACGGCATTGAAATACCGGACTGTGAAGAAGTTCGAATACTCGATGTACGTTCTTTATCAATCTTTTCATAAACCGATCTCTTTACTTTGTTACTTGCTCTGCTGCCGTGCTTCTTATGAACTGACGTAGAAAAAGAACGGGCCCGATCGCAGTTGCCCTATAAAAAAATCAACACTGGAAGATATTTATTCATTCGAGTATCATTTCTATCGACTAGATGTACTTGTGGAAAAGACTGAAACTCCTAGTTGTTCAGGAAGGCAATGGTGTGCACTCTTTGGTGATTGTGAGAACGGAAATGGCTGACAGTGGGCAGTTCACTTGTTTGGCAGAGAATGTGGCAGGAGAGGTTGGCCTAAATAAGCCTCGGAATTTCGGTATTCTGCGATTTCGAGACTTTTCATTCGGAAATTCCAGGCTCGAAGTACGGCCGATCTGGTTGTAAGACCTCCAGGAAGTGGTCCGGGCAGTTATTTCCATATAACTAAAGTCACTCAAGAAAAACAGGTGAGCAGGTCTTGCTACAATAACTTTCTTCATCAGGACCGAAAAGCATTTACTTTATCCAGGCCATACTGTAGTATGTACAACCATATTTGGTTTATCGGTGGTGTGGGCGATTGTGTAGCGGTAGGTGGCGCCCTACCACTTGGGAATGAACCGGGATCGGACCTCGGCTCGATACTTGCACAGATAAATGGAGATTTCCATCTCTTCAGAATCGTTTAAATGGTACCCCTTTGATCTGGGAAAATAAAAGCACTGACTTAAACATTGGCTGGCCTCCGATAGTCATTGTATAGGCCGTGCTGTATTCAACCGTCACTACGATTCTGAATGAAAGTCGAAAGCGGGGGCGCATCTCAAAAAGGGATTGATCGAGCTAGGTGCACCCCCGCTTTCGACTTTTTTTACTTCATCGGTGGCTCTCTCCCAGAAGTGAACGTGCCTGATTATGTAATTATAGCGCTGTAGTGACGGGACAAGGGCATAATGACAGAGATGATCTGAGGGTGAAGGCTGAGCTACCGCATCCGGGAGTAGGAGCGTTCGAGCGTTGAAATTCTGGCCACTGTGGGATTCCACTTTTTGCTGATTCTAACATTGTATTAACAATCATAGAACCGAAACCCAAGGTACAAGCTCTTGTTCGGGAGTAGGAGTGCTGGATGCAGCGCTGTCCTCTTCTCCGTAACTATATTTCCCAAGAAACTGTAACAGTCAACTCTTTTCGTTCCCACTGCTATCTCTCTACTTTCGCAATACATGCTGACTCAATAACAAATGTCTTATCTTTATAAAATATTAGCATGCCTGCAGTTCCAATCATTCCCTCGCTTATCACCGTCTCTTCGACCTTTATCATACTCCCACCAATTTTTTCAAACACTCCCCCGCCAATAGCCCCTCCTTTTTCACCTTTTCATAGCAGAATGTGCCTGTATCAACGAAAACTCCGTAAACTCAATGAAGCCTGTCGAAAAAGTTGCTCAGCATATTCCTTCCTATTCTTGCTTTCTTCGTCGACCTTTTCTCTCAGGAGGGTGTGTGGTGTAGTGGCAAGTGGTGCACTTCACACACGCATAGTTACGGGTTCGAATCCTGGACCGATATCCGCCTAGGCAACCAAGCCTTCCAATCTTCCGGGGTCGGTTAATTGGTGCAAGATTCGTCTGGGAGGATAAAAGTATTGGCTTGTACATCGGCTCTCCACCGCAAGTCGTTGTAAAGGCCACGGACGCAATCATTACGCCACCACGATTATGAATGGGAGTTGAATGCCGGGGCGCATACCTCAGACGGCAAAATTACTTTATTCATCCTTTTCCCCTTATTTTTGTTCCTATTGAATGGCGTGGTAGCCATACCCGTCTAGGACGCTATCTTACCCTAGAGGCGCCTAATTTTTACCGGACTTGTCAGAAGGACAAAAACATCGACTTATAATCTGCTGACTCTCACAGCTCACTGTGGAGGCGGCATTCAAACGCTTCCACGACTCTGAATAGAAGTCGAATGGGCATGATCTAGGAAGGGATTTACCAACATCAAAAAGCTTTCTCCTAAATTTTAGTTTTGTCAACCTACATGAGCCCATGCAGGTAGAAATGAGGCCTTTTGCGGAACAAAGAAGCATTCGTTTTAGAGGTTTAGGGAGTCAATGACCGGATTCTGATATGCATTCAAGAATTACGTGGCCCGAACACTATTCAGAACCTCGATATGGAGTTGTTCAATGATCTATCATTGTTAGGGCCATCCGTCTTTGATAATAGTAGAATAAGATTACGGAAAATGATAAGAAATTCCTAGCACTGAGCTTCCGGCTTGACCTTCCACTTTGCACTTGGCCTTCTGAAACTCGAATCGAGCCTAATTTCATCAAGTTCCAGGTCGAAGGAGAGCAACCAGTACGAAACACTGCCTTCACCATTGAGAATCCACCGATACAAAGTGCAATGTTATAAATCCGTTGTGATCGACGGTCGCCCTGTCCTCGGAAGACGTTCACATCAGCCATGATCAAGTCGCTTTCAGCCATCCCTCTCGAAATTGTATGAACGCCAGCATTTACTGCCATCTCGTGAAGATTTCATAGCCCTACTATTCAATGTATCTTTTGAAAATAAAACCTTTTTCGATGATTATGCGTTGCCATTACTCATAGCAGTCATAAATGTTCGGGTATGAAACATTTTCATCTCTCAGAACTATTCGCCGGGTATGGTGCGTTAGGAAAGAGATGGTCGCGTCGCGGTGAGAGGGGCGTCGCGCGCGAAGGAATGTAGCAGGATGCAGCANGATCGCATATCGATTGAGCTGTATGAAGAACGCAAGAGCTGTAATAACGGCGAATGAGTGGTCCGCGACAGCCGCGTGCGGCAAATCGACTAACCAAAAACGTTCCTAACGCCCGTCTCCTCGGCGGTTCTACTTGAATACACATTTTCTGCGCAAAGTGCTTTTTCACCTAGCCCTTCGGCAGTGAGTCTTTTTTGCGAACCTTCCATGAATGCCTGGTGGAGAAATTCAATAGGCATGAATAATTATAATTCTTTTATGATGCTGAGGTTCACCTGTCTTAATTACCTACCGGCTGTGGAAATGAAAGCAAAAATTTTTAGCTCCAAGTGTCCCAAACTGTGGGATCAATGTATATATAGAGCGCAGTTCTGAAAACACTATATCCAAGCTTTAAAATCATGTAAGGCAGATAGTGGAGCTCGGTTACTGATAGGTTACATTGGGTAGCTGCAAAGTGGAAGCTACCGAAACTTGGAAAAACCTTATGGCGGTCTACACTTCACAATCAGATTTTTTTCTCAAAGTCTACGACAAAAGCACAGAAGTATAGTTCAGGGAAACCTGTTCCCTTGGAACGATAAGAACCTGCAAGCCTACTGTATCATGTGTCGTCGTACAGAAGGCACATCGAAGGACTAATCTTCCATATTCAAGGGAACATTCTCCAGTAAGTCAACAGGTTATGCCTAAAGGACTGTGAATAGGAGGAACATAGATATGGAGTATATACACGGTGGGAACCTGCTCACACAAAATAGATGATGTGGGACATTTCAGTTGTGAATGGCATATTAATAGGGACGTACTAGGGGACAAAGAAGTTACAGCAAGAGCTCCATCTGCCGAAAACGCCCTAGTGTCCGAAAGGCAACAGCCGAGAAACATATAGCCGTTGGGATCATCAGTAGTATCGGTCTCTTCATACAGTTAGGAACTAACAAAAACCTTATATGGTAGGCTTTGCACACTAGAGCTCCATTTAAAATTACATAAGTTGAAACAGCTCGGCTTCAAGAGCAGCGAAGGAGAAACAGGTATCAGGAACACTCTCGGGTTTCCCCAGCACGGAAGTACGTCATGCTCATGAATTTCTTGCAAGTTGAAGTCTTCAAGAGATTCTGTGCGCTGCTGCAAACATAACGTCCCAAATGAAGAATGAACTTGTGAGACTTCACTTAGGCATTCTCAGAAATATGCGTACTTTGTAAGTTGACTCATTTTAAACAAATGTTTTATAAGGGAATGATCAATTCACATCTATACAGTAACATGGATATGGAAAAATAAAAATTCGTATTGAGCTTTCTCGTGGAGCAAGCGAATTGTATGCTAAGTGGACGCATGGCAAGTGAATCGAGCACCGACGAAAACAGTCGTAACAAACACGTGCAGCAAGGAATAGATGAACGAATGAATGAACGAAAAGAGATAGACAGGAGAAGAAAAGAAACGTCAAATAAAACTCATATTATCTCGTATATTCTCGATTTTTTGTTCTACCTAATGGCGAAAAACTATAATACATCTTAAACGATGAGAGGCGAGGTAGCAAAAAATTTGGCAGGTAGGACTACTCGTCAATCGGACCTTCTATGCTAGTGCTGATATGACTAAAAGAGTCCGTCCCACGCCTCACATGACCATCGGTGCCTTTCGGCCAGCAGGATATGGTGGAGGTGGTGGCAGGTCCATGACTGCAGCCGGAGCAGTAGGTCGCCATGCATAACTGAATGGGAACGATAGAGAGTTATGGTAAAGAAGGCCTTGAAATTGGACTTACGCTGCTGGCACTACATTCGGTGTTCTCATGTACGGTGCATAGTTATGAACAGCAGAGTCAGGGAAGTAGTCTCCTCGATGAAGTGGAACATGGAAATTACCTGGAGGGAAAAAATGGCAATACGAAGTATTGAGACGGAGGAAGCTCCAAAGTGTTACCTGTCATGACTGGCAGTGGCAAGTGGGAAACGTATTCGGACGTGAGGTCGATGCACGATGACGGTCTTCGCTGATGACTGAGAAGACTATTCGATTCACGTAGAAGTCGATGCATCATGGGGAAATCGCGCAGGCGTTCCGTGCTTAACCCCTCCTGAAACAGGGATGGATTCTGAAAACGTGTACGATCCACATGCAATTGTTCACTGTCCAACCTCGTCAATGAAGTAATCGTGAGTAGCGAATTGGGTGGCTGACGCTGGAGGGAATGCTGGTTGGCCTCCAGCAGCTTCGGCGGCCATGGGCCCAACCGCGATTGATTGAACAACGCTTGGCTGAAATTGGAGCATTCAGAGAAGAGCACATATCGCGAGCCGCTCCTTGTATATGGTTCGAAAGCATTTTTATTACTTGAAGGTGAAGATGAGGATTCAGTTGGGAGGTGGTGGTTCTCTGAATATCGAGTGCTCTCTCGTATGGTGGCGGATCTCTGGTTTTTCCTCGAGGCGGTGGTAAGCTCGATAGCAACGATCCGCTTGGTCCGTCGTCGGTTGTGGTCTGAAACATCAACGATAGAAGCTCATTATAAAAGGAGGAACCAAGGAATACCCTCGGAGAAAATTTCGCCCTGTATCCTTTTATACATGCGTATCTATTCTGTTTTTCCCGTTTGAATTTTTCTGAGCAAACTTTGAAAGAAGATCTAATAGATTACTGGTACTGAATTCTGCCATTCGTAGTGGAAATACTCTGTCAGTGCAGGCCTAAGTTATGAAACTCATTTTTTCGTCGTACTAAATTGGTAAACGCTAGAAGGAGGTTAGCTCAGATGTTCGAAGCTCGCCTTAAATAGTATGGCTGTGTCCTCGAGCGGTCACAGACAAAGTCTTCGAGATCGGTCTCAGCCTCGACATACATAGAAAACGGCCTATTGGTAAGGGGCGCTCAAAGCGCTTTTTTCGATATCTTGCACGATGACTAGAAATTAGCTGTTCTTCATCCCGACCAAACATTCAATCGGGAGAATTGGCATCAGTGCACTAGAAACCTGCACTGGGGACTCCGCTTCGATGCAGGACAAACGCTGAAGAAGGGGAACAGAAGACTGAGTTCATTGCTGGAATGGAAAGCGAAGGGAGCAAGGATTGTGAGAGGTAGTATAGCGTTTCAATTGTAACATATTCAGGCATAGAATCTAGATTTTTTTAAAAATTTTCAGCTCAATATCAGCCCTACAATGTTTGCTCAAGGGGAGAATGACCAGTTCCCAAAGCTGTAGATAACCATCATCACCAATGTTAGGGAGTTTAAATTTTGATGGAATCGAGTAGACAGAAATTCATTTATAATCTTTACAGGTAATGAAAGTTATGCTCGGTGTTAGAAATCTTCTCGGTAACCATATTTTCTATATACTTTGTCATACGAGAGATCTTTCGAATATCTAGAGGGTCAAAAGGCACCACACATTATGTGAGAGGCAGAAATGAAGACATACGTTCACCTATTTCCTCTTCAAAAACAGAGTAAAGACAGTCTGAATTTCCTCTTTTGCTGACTTCATCAAACAGCGAAAACGATAGCGAATGCCGCCATCTTATGGTTGAACTGTCAGCTCCTCGCCATGAGGAGCGCGGTTTTGAAAGGGTGATTTTGATTACGCACCATAAATTACACGGACTATATAGACAACAGGGTCATATGTGAACGACATGCGTTCAATTCTTACAACTGACCGAAGTTAAACAGCCGGCAACACCTTCTAATATACAGTAGCGCTCAAAAGCCTTCGGCCAAATGCGTCTCCAGCTGTACTTTTCAGTCGTAACTCCTTTTCTACTGGATGTAATCACGCGAAATTTCAATATGTGTAGCATGGGTGTAGGGTGAATATTTACCACTATTAGCCTGTAATCTAATCATGTTCGAGATATCTCAAAGAGCTTGAACCCAAAATCAACTGGAAATACAGACATTGGTCTTTCTAGGATTTCTTTCCCTTTTGCCATGTCTGAAGTGTACGAGCGCTAATGCCGGATACAGTGAAGGAGAAAAACGCACATAAGGTGCGAATAACTGTAGACGGAAATAACTTTGCTCTTAGCAAAATCTACTACCACAACACATACTGCTCTTACTTATGCGGATATTGTGCTGGGCAGTCAAGTAGTGCTGGATAGTGTGAAATAGGCCGCAGTTAGATATATCTAAAATTCGCGCGATTTGCTCCACTAAGAAAAAAGTTATAAACGAAATAGCGTAAGAGCGTTTGGCCGTATACTTTTAGCGCTACTGTAAGATGAAGTCAAACTTGGGGAAAATGAAAACTGAAAAAACAAATTGCATACCGTTCTCTGATATCCGTTGACCACGTGATAATGTGCTGGCATTGAATGAACCCTGTTGATAACGCCATTGGCGGATTTCTTAGTGAATAGCCGTCCACCATTGGCTGTGATTTGGCTGTCCAATAAGGCAACAGCTACAGAAGGATGGCCCCATAACTGTAATTTTTTGTTTGTACCATCACCTAATCATATGATGAGAAGTCTAAACTAAAAAAGGAAGTCCTACATCGGAATCAATCTTAGGTTCACTTCTAGCTTGTCCAGATGCGCTCAATCTTTGCATTTGATGATCTGTGGTGCTCCATTGTAATGGTGGCATTACGATCATGTTGCTGTAATATAAGTACTAATAAATAAGTTGAGAATCACACGTAAATAAAAGAAAAACGAAAAAATAAAAAACAATGGCCACGGGGGCAAAATTGGGATAAGGAAATATGGCGAAGCCACCGCATGTGCGGTCAGGGATCGAATTCCGAAGCAACAGCCACCGAATACGTATTCAAAGTCCATCGCGAAATGGAATGAAACTTGAATGCGCGGCGCATTCCAAAACGGGCATGGTCATCCTCGTAGAAGAAATTCATTCCTATTTCTCAGAGATAATAGCTAACACATGAACGTCTTGATGAACAAACATAGACCTACCCATCATTGTCAGCGCGTTCGTCAATATATCCTGGAGGTGGCTTGACGCCAGCAGTTCGTAAGTCATGAAGAGACACTGAAGACTGTTGAGGGAAGGCTGATCGCAAAGTCGAATCGGCATCTTCGGATCTAGCACAACCCTGCAAAGGCAGCCCTTTTGGCCCACTCTCGCGACATCAAACATGTCCCAGATAGTGCTTACCTGTTCGTGACGGCAGGCATGAAGCATGCTCTCCGGTAGCATTTCATTCGAGTGTTGAATGGAATCACTACGTGATCCACCAGAGGATGCATATTGGATCTCTCCCTGAAATCGAATAGTTAGAAAGGAGGGTTGCCAGGTAGTGAGGTCTCCCACAGTAAATCACTTTGTTTTAAAGCGGACCTGATACGGTATGCCGTACGCTTCCAAAATGTCGAGATCTGTTGGATTGATCGCGGATTTCAGGTTGAAGTTGACATCTACCGGAGCGCACCTGGTACTTGTCTCGACCGTCTGCGAGGCAGAATCCACACTAGCTGGCCGCCTTGAAAAAAAAAACAATTTTTACAAACGGTTGCCACCCAATAGCCTTAGTGAGGTGAAAAGGTGTCCTGGTAGTGAATTGTATTGAGGAGAAGATTCAAACGAGAAAAGAACCGGTAAAATTGGACGTACATATTTGTGACGTCTGCAGTGGGATGTGTGATGAAGTCGTGCGGTACGTCGCTGGTATCAGTTTCCACTGTGGTTAACTTCCGTTCGACCTGGTCACTGGCATCGCTTGTTTTGCTTGACTGACTGGCAGCGCGTTCCTGTCGGATATCTGCAAGACACTGGTGTCGCTAATTCTGTCTTCAATCTGGGTTGGTAAAACTTTTGTGAGATTCGGGGTGAGGTGAATGAAGTGGATGGGTGGCGTCTACTAGGGGTTGAGGGATGCTTATTCCCTCTTCGGATGGTTCAATAGACTTTATGAGGTACATCTTTAACGAGGGAAAACTAGAGCGCACCATGACCCAAATCCAACAAAGATGTACGTCCTGAGCTCCGCTCCCAGGGAACGGGGGGTGGTGGCCGCCCGAGCTTCTGTTTTTAATGTCTAGTCAGATCAGAATGGAGAATTGCAGACGGCCGACTTTTTCTCGAACATTTAAGCAGAAGCCATCTTCACAGACGTCTTCAGAACAGTCAGACCGCTCTGTCCGAGCTTAGGATGGATGTATGGATATAGTAACAGTTGTGATTCTGACCGAAACAGTCTGCAATACCCTTTCACCTCATTGCTTTACAGTTATCGCTAGCACCCATTCGCGTTCGACCCAGAGTGAATTCGAAGGATATATCCATAGTTACTGCTGCTAAGTAGCTGCAATGGTAAACAGCCAGAGGCAAGCAAAACAGGATCGGGTCTAGGTTTGGAGAAATGATGAGAAAAAAAGGAGTTGGGATGTCTTCTGAGCTCTCTCCCTAAACCCCTCGCTTTGATGAGAGTTTTGACTAGTGGTCGAATACAACTACATTTTAAAAATCAATGGGAATCAGCGGAATGGAAGAGAATTGATTCGTTAATAGGGTGGAACCAGATAGCTTCAGTGCCTATTCATTACATTCCAGTCACTGATCATTGCTATCAGTACGAGAAGGGGAATGTCAGGCACGTGAACGCCAAGTGAATGAAGCAGTAAACGATTCAGTAGCATTACCAAAAACGACAAAGTGCCATAGGAGTTGTCGGAAGATCAAAATGAATGTACACACACAGTCCATAAGAGGAATATCGCGCAAGTAATCGACTGCTCTGTTCAAAACCATCAGAAGAAGGTAGACTCACGTTCCAACTCCATTTTTTCAATCTTCAAGTCGAGGTTTGAGTCGAGTTTTATGCGAACCCGTTGCTTTGACGATACCGAGCCCTGGCCTCGATCACCAGAACTGCTTAGTGAGTCGTGGAGTAAGGAGTCCGAATCTTAAAAAGGAGGTATTGACAAAGACTTGGAAATAGCTCTTCACAAACAGGCATACCTTTGTCGTTATCGCAGTTGTTTGGAACAGTGGTGTTGTTTGACGATGTTGAGGTCCGGTCTACGCTCTTCTCATGGAAGAGTTGCGGTAATGGAGCGATTTTGCCGTTCTGATGTGACAGCACTAACAATGTCTGATGCACAGCTCGACATAACTCCAACAGATACCTAAAATTGATACGTTCTTGGGATAGAAAATGAACAAGCATATCGACGAACGAACCTTGCTTTGCTCTCACTCTGTGCATATAAGCACATTTTGGAGGTGTCGGCACCAACGATGGTAAGCTTTTTCCGATCAAACGATAACCTCGTCACTCGGTTCCACGGCAATGAACGCAAAGGTATGCGTTCGCCTTCTTCGCCAATGTCACACATCTCGATTCCTCTGCAAGAAGAAGAATTCCGTTCGGTCAGTCGGTCGGGGTTCATTCACAATGGATCAACCATACATTTACTGCTACGGTGATAGTTGTCATAAATCCCGAGAGCAGAGAGTACAGGGGAACCGTAATTTAGTGAGAGGGGCTTCAGTGACGGGGACCACTATAAAAGGCAGGAACATCATAAATAAAAACTGGATTTTACAGCGCCAAAAAGTACTGCGAGAAGTGAATGTACTTTACCATTGAGGTGGTTCATACTAGCGCTATGAGGTAGAAATCACTTCCCCTCCGAGTGCAGACAAAGCTATGTACTCTTGAACAAATGGGAGAAATAATATGTAATAGACTTGGGTGTCAAGCGTAGGAATGCGGTAGGGAGTCCCTAGCCTAACTAAGGTAACGCCGGCATAACCGCGAACCTTGCAGCATGGAAGACCTCAAAATAAGGCAGTCCTGGCTTGTTCGACCATGTTCTCAATCAAACTTAAGAAGAAGAAAGCCATCAATGAATAACCTACTTGGCATTGATTCCAAGCACAGCGTTGTCGACAGTGTCCATTTTGTGTCGTCGCAGACCGTAGAGATGGCAATTCAGAGCAAATGGTGACCTGAAGAGGAAAAATTTCGCTTACGAAGTAACCAACGGGTAGAGCTGATCGAGAGGAAGCCAAATCACTGGAATTGCTGACCGACTGGCTTCGAAGGCAAACTTCATCATGGCCTCAACTCGACTCATGTCCTTTAGATCTTCTGATGCAGCAGGCATGTACTTGCGTACATACTCCAATCCACGGACATCAATCACCCATATAGGGAAGTACTGCTCGGCCCGAAAGTATCTAGACAGAGAAACCATTGTACTATATTATAGTAGGAAAATTTTTTATACTCTACGAAATTCTCCGAAAAAACATGAGTTGTATGTGTTGCTTACCCTCCAGGATTGTTTCCTTTGTCGACTTTCAGAGCCAGTGCTGCCATTTCCCAACATCTTTCTTCGGAAACACTATGGCGGCTTGCCCACTGGTCGAGAAAGTTGTCTTTCAGTTGCAAGTAGTAGTGTTCCAAGGCTTTGGGACATCTGAGCAGAAAAATCTTTGAGTAAAAAGGCTTGACTTATGGTCACCTAAGCTTGCTCGTCTTCGGGTCATGCGAAAGGTAACCTTCAAATAATTGAGAAAGAATACGGGTCTAGAAAGTGCTCAATGAGAAAAGCTCTGCTTGGTTGACTTTAGTACTGGGAGTTCAAGTTCAAAGCGAGAAAACGATCAAATAGCTGGAGTAAAAGTGCAATCAAAGTTTTAAGCTGTAGTCAGTACAGGCTAACCTATAAGGGTTCTGAACTGCTAAATCCCGAATGGTCCCGTATAGGATCGGTGGGCGTGGGACACCGTAAACTCAGCAGAGCTCCGAACGCTTGGAAGTGAAACATGCACCGGACTGAAGAGGGCAGTACTTCTTATCGTGATTCCAGAATACCCCAGACACCGGTAGAAACTGGGTAGGAGAGGCCAACAAACTTTTCAAAAAAGACACATTCGCGGTGGGCGAAGAACCCCGATTGTAGGCTGCACTTTCCACCTGAATTCATTGCTGAGAATTCCAACACCCTCTCACACTGTAAGTTTTTAGGGAGCAATGGGCTCAGACCAAAAAAAGTCATATCTCTGGTTAGAGTGTTTTTTGTTGTGATACATGGGTGTCTTAGGTTGCAGAGCCCTGGTAGTCAATAATGGACGTCTACTAGAACAGACAAAAAACTTCAAGTTAACAAAACTTACGTCAACAACCGCACTTGATCTATGTACACTCGTACTCGGAAGTACAGCACGAGCAATGGTCGATTTTCAGTACTTCGATTATGCTGAAATGGACGCTCTCAGTTCTATACTTCGTAATTGCAACCCATATACTAGAAAAAATCGAGGAAATAATCCTTAAAATCATTTCGACCGATTGGATTAGATGGAAGTTTTTTTAGTTTTTGCCTGTTGAAAACGTATGGAACTGAGCATTCCAGATACGTGAAGACGGGATTCCTTCAAGGAACAATATGAAAGGAGAGTGGTAGGATGGCCTGGTGAAGATAGGTCAAGGAAGAGTCAATGAAAATTCGTGTTCGATCATATTTCAAGATGTATCGGCCATGAAGCAAGCAGTGGGCTTGAGGATGAGGAGGAGCACTAAGAGAACCGAGGTGTCAAAGGTTCGATATTGAAATGACTGGATATCTGAACCTGCCTGGTTGGGTTTCCTCTTCCTCTTCTTACGGTTGCTTATGCTCCGAACTATGTTCGTCGAAACGGAACCCATTACATTTGGAAAAAATAGTTGACGGGAAACGAACAATTCACTTTGCCGAATAACCTATGGAACTGGGCCTTACTCGAGCTTGAGTTGCCCTTAGGAATTCCCATAGACCGCCATACGAATTTAATATTCAAAAACCGTTTACACAGCAACTTTTCTCACACACACAAGGTCAGTCTTTATCATTCAAACTCGTTTTCCAGCTAAAGTGCATTTTATCAGATATTCCATCGTTCAGCTAGGCAAAACCTTAAAAAGGAATGAAATGCAAACCGGCAGGAATACTGGTTTTTTACGCAATAACCGGACCCTGAGTGGCTTGGTGGAATTCCAATGTTATGAATGGTTATCAAGAAAATCATGGAGGACTACGAAGTAGAATCATGGACATGGCTGGGAGCAGCACCTCTCACTGCATGCATTTTGGGCGAAGTGACCCCTCGCCCGAATAAAAAAACTGCATTTTTTTAGGCTTGATGTTTGGTAATCAGCCTACCCAACATCACAAAGCAGGGACTGAGACTTAAGTCACCCTACGTCGCATGGAAGCCAGACAGACAGTAAAGCACATGTGTGGAATCTAGGGAAGCTGGGTGAACGACGCTTCCAGAGACCCATCATGGTCAAGATCTGAACTTTCACAACTGGATGGTATCGAAGAACCACTGCAGTCAGTTGTCTACAGCTCAGAATTGACAA